GGGGGGAGGAGGGGGAGGAGGAGGGTAGCTCCAGAGGCAGCATGGGGCAGGTGGCCCAGAACCGGCCCTTGACTGGCTTCAAAGCCTCACCAGCCAGGCGATCCCGGGCAGGTGGTGCACGTCCCCCGGGAGGACAGGAACAGTGGACGGTGAGAGACCAGGAGGCAGGTGTGAGGGTGGAGGTGGGCGTGAGGAGGCCAGGGGGGGGGGGTGGGGAGGCCGGTGTCGAACGCGCCTCGGAGCAGCAAGGTCCCCCGGGGGCCGGCTGGGACCCGCCCGCCCCCTGCCGTGGGCACTCACGTCATGACCAGCGTCTCGTCCCCCGGCTCGCTCAGGAGCCCGTCCACAAACACGGAGGTGCTGGTGAAGTTGTGCGTGCTCCAGGTGAGGCCCTCGTCCACACTGAACCTGCCGGGACAAGGGGCGTCACCCCCGCGGGCGGGCGGGCGGGAACGCTCCCCGGGGCCAGGCCCAGCTGCCCTGCCGGATCCAGCCCTGCCCGAGCCCAGGGGCCGGTGCTGCCCAGCCGAGGGGGCCGGGAGAAGAGGTCCGGGCCACACCTGCGCCCCTTCCCGGGGGCACAGCGGCCGCCCGCCGGCACCAAGCAGCACCCGCATCTCCTTAGTAACACTGCAGCTAAGGCGTTCCGGGCGTGCCTCCTGGGTACACTGCAGCTGCTTTTCAGCCCCTGGATTGCAGTCGTCTGGCCTTGGAGCATCCAGGTCAGCCCCCACCCCCACCCCTGGTGCCTGAGCCCAGCCCAGGCGCTGCCAGGCCAGGGACAGGGGCGTACTGCCTCCCAACTCATCATATCACGGTGCCACCGGCTTGCAATGCAGAAAACTTTTTCAGACTAAAGTGATACTGGCTTCCGAGCAGCTCCCCCAGCTCTGCCTTCTCTGCCTGCCGAGTCCAGAGTTCACACCTGCCCCCCTTTCCTTACAACTGCCCCTCAGATGTCAGAAGCCCATCCAAACCTGTTCTCACCTGGACACATGCTGCCGGCTTCCTTGCCTGGCCCTGCCTCCTCCACGGGACTAACTCTTGTTGATGCTTGAAAGTCACCTCCTCTGGGAAGCCCTCCTTGCTCCCCCAGGCCGGGATGGGGGCCTCCTCCGGGCCCCTAAGCCCCAAGTCTTCCTCTGCCCCCCCACCCCTGCTGCGGACCCTACTGTGCTGCCATTCCCGGTTTCTTTGTGTCCCCAGGCCCAGCCGGGAGCATCTCCCAGCTGGAGGAACCCCACCCACCCTGCAATGCCCCCTCCCCGAGCTGGGCCCCCATGGCATTACTTGAGGATCTTCAAGGGGATGGAGGTGTCCTTGATGGCTGCGATCACGCCGCCGTGGTCCAGGTAGAGGACGTGGTGCTCCTCCTCGAACACCTGCAGAGAGGCAGGCCACGCTCTGAGGGTGGGTCACTCTCTGGGGGCAGAGGTGTCCCCACGCAGCCCCAGGAAGCTGGCTCAGGGCTCCCCGTGTCCCCCGGGCCCCCCCCATGCTCTCCACGAACAAGCGTGGCAGTTTCTAGACCACTGACGCGAGAGATTAAGTTGCAGATAAACGCACAGGAAGCTGGCCCTCTGCAGGGAAAGCTCACGCACCTGTACGGGGACCGCGTGAAGGCAGGAAAGAAATCACGGAAGTCAGCAGAGCGTTTAGGACAAGTAAACCCCAATTTGACATTGAGACTCAGCTCAAGGGACTCCTGGGTGGCTCAGTCAGCTAAGCGTCCGACTTCAGCTCAGGTCATGATCTCGCGGTCCGTGGGTTCTAGCCCCGCATCGGGCTCTGTGCTGACAGCTCGGAGCCTGGAGCCTGCTTTGGATTCTGTGTCTCCCTCTGTCTCTGCCCCTCCCCTGCTCATTCTCTCTGTCTGTCTGTCTGTCTCTCTCTCAAAAATAAATGAAACAAAGAAAAAAAATTTTTTGAAAAAGACTCAGCTCAAATGCTGCCTCCTCCAGGAAGCCCTCCCTGAAGCCAGGCCAGGTGGGGAGTGCCTCTGGGCCCACAGCCTCAGCACCAACTACACTATTTGTCATTGTCTCCTCCAGCCAGGGAGCTCCGCCCAGGCAGGGCCTGCCTCTGAGTCATCTTTGTGGCCCTTGGGGCTCAGCTCAGAGCTGGGGGCGAAGCTTGTGTGGGGGATGGATGACCGAATGAATGAATGAATGAATGAATAAGAGAGTGAATGAATGAGTGGCCACTACGTCTTCAGGTGACAAAAGGCCTAGCGCCCTGGACAGTGTTCACACAGGAGGAGATAACCCTGGTGGCCCTGGGATCGGGGTCCCATTTCGCAGATGAGGAAGCTGAGGCCTGGGGTGGGGCAGGTGTGGCTGCTGAGTCAGGCCAGGTCGCAAAGGGCCTGCGCTAGATCTTCTGTGAGCACAGAATCCAAACGGCGAGCAAGGGTCTGGACCCCCTCTGGCATCCCCTGCCCCGTCACTCACTCTCCCAGAAGTGGCCCCATCACGGAGCCCACTCACCTCCCACCCCGTCGGCCGTCAGGACCTGTGGTTCTGTGGCGGGAGCGCAGGGAAGTCGGGGGGAGTCGGGAAAGAGCCGGGACCCCCCCACCCCTCCCCAGCCCCTCACCTGGGCCAGCCCGCTCCTCCGTGCCAGCTGCCCAGGGTCTCAGTGAGACCTTGGCGAGGGGGCTGGCCACGCCTCCCGCCCGCGCATACAGCTTGGGGATTGCGGACGCTTCTCCTGGGCTGGGGGAGGGCAGGGCCGAGCCGGTGGTGTTACGACCCACTCAGTGCCCGGTGAGGCCGGAACAGGCGGGGCTCAGCCGGCCCCTCGGTCCCGCGGCTGCACCTGCTCTGGCCTGGGCAGACAGACCTGGAAAACTCCCTGACTCGTGGAGGGAACGTTCTAGGACAAATGAGCGCGTAGGAACGGGGGAACCGCCCAAAGAGCATTGGACAGCGCCTTCTTCCCGCCCCTCCATCGTGAGTCTTTCCTCACGTGAAGGCTGGATTTTCCCAGACCCGGCAGGACGATGCCCCACACGTCAGGAATGTAAAATTTTACCAGAACCTTCCAGTGGCCCGCCACGGCCTTTAGAATCCCACCCAAACCCTTTCGTGGCCTCCAGGCCTCTGCAGGAGATGCCCCTGCCTACGTTCTCCTGCCCCCACACATCAGCCACCCTGGCTGCCTTTCCCTGAACACACCACAGGCCCTTTGCACGTGCTGTCCCCCTGGTCTACGAAACCCTTCCCCAGATATTTTCACCTTCTCCACAGTCCTGCCGGTGTTTCCCATTGCTCATCGGAGTTCCTTAGGAAACACTCCGGCTTGAATAAAGAAGAAAGGCCCCTTGCAGGAAATGGTGGGAAGTTCGCAGATGAACCCCAGAGCCCGCGCTCTCTCCCCTACTTCACGTCTGCAGCCGGAGGATGTCAGGCCGGGCAAAATGACCCAGAGAAGGGGAGCCTACAGGGCCAGGCGTGGGTGAGCCCCTCCCTGCCGGTGACGGTTGCCACCCATCAGGGGCCTCTAGGACGCCGGCGGGCACCTTGCACGAGCAAGGCGGGCCAGGCGGGGGCCGGCTCCAAGCGCTCTGCCCAACGTGGGCCAGCTTTTCCAGGAGAGCCCGGAGAGGGGGCTGGGTGTCTATGAACTAGTTTTTAAACACGTGTGCAGGTGGCGTGGGGGAGGGGGATGAGGACGGGCGCGGGGTGGTGGCCACGGTGGCCCCTGCCGTGCATCCAGGGTCCCGTTAGTGGCAGCCACGCTCAGAGGGCATCTTCCCAACTTCCAAAGAGGGGCCAGAGGTTCAGAGACACCCGGTGGCTTGTCTGGCGAGTCCAGGGTAGACCCCGGGTCTCGGACCCAGACCCCACCTTGACTCGGTCCACGGCCTCCTGTCTCCATGAGCAGGACACCCGCAGTGGGAGGGCAGGCTGTGTTTTGTGTGCAACGAAGCTGCAGGCTGGAGTGGGGGCTCACAGCACTAACTTGGGTGCTCCGCGGACGCGCCCCTGCCGGGCGCCCTCCCTGGACTCACAGCCCCCGTCCCCCCCCCCAGGGGTCAGAGGAGTAGGTGCGCCTGGGGTCCTCAATCTTAACGGTGCTTGGGATAAGTGTGCTGCTGGAGGTAGAGTTTCCTGGATGAGGGAGGGGACGGTCTGCGGATTTTAGGATACCGTGCGGAAGAAACATTCATACTTTTCCACCCCAACTGTTCACTCATCCAGCAGATCCAGTGTTTCAGGTCTCCTCTGTTTGGGTGCTGGGGTCCAGGGGTAGGGATGACAGTCTGGGCCTGGGACGCCCTCTCACTCGGTACTCAGCCCGCGTTCTGCCACCGCAGGGGTGGGTCCCGGGCAGGGTTTCTGGACGCACCCGGTGCAGGTCTGAGTCAGTGGGCGCTCCCGGGTGCGCCCGGGAGTGTGTGAGTGTCGCTTGGGCTAATCCGAGGGGGGCCGGGGCATCGTGGGGGGTGTGCAGGAGGTTCGAGAGAGCCGCGCGTCCGGGGGGCAGAGGCCCCTGAGCCGGGCTGGGCAGTGAGGGCACACATGTCAGCAGCGGGCGGGACTTCCTCCTGCAGACGGCGGCGAGGCACCGGAGGCTTAGTCGGGGAGGCTTACGAGCAGGGCGATGGCAACACGTTTCCCTTTCGCAGCTTCCCGGGGGTGCTGGGGGGCGACGGACCAGAGGGGCAGAGGCCCAGCCCAGGAAAATGCATTCCCAAGCAGCCGGGCTCCTCCTCCAGGAGAGAGTGAGCTCCCCGTCCCGGGGAATATGCAAGGAGAAGCCAGCCTCCTCGCCGCGTGGGGACCCCTGAGCCGCCAGTCCCACGCCTAACGCATCTGTCTCCCCCAAGGCACTGCTCCTGATGCTTTGAACTTGCAGAGGCCTCTGCCCGTGCGGCGGGAACCCTCATTCCTGCTCTACTGGGGGCCAAATTCGCTTTTCTCGGGGTGATAAGGCTGTGGAGCGGGCCATGTGGTGTAATGAAACCATCACGGGTGGGTCCTCAGAGCCTGACTGTCCCAGAGCGGGAGGCACTCGCGGGCCCACCCGCTGATGCATGTGCACACCCAGCCAGTGGCTCCTCCCTGGACGACATTCCCCATGCCCCCCCACCCCCAAGATGGGGCGCCTCCCAGCTATCGCAGGGGACCCCCAGAGCGTCTCCATTCCCATCAGCTTGGGACTCTGCAAGAGGGGGCTCCAGGGTCCAACCCTCCCCAGTGGGGTCGCAGGGTTTTGGAGCTCCCGGTGCTATGGTTCTCTGTGCCTTGATCAGCCCCCAGGCAGCAGGGCTGGGGGCAGGGGGGGGGGCAGGCGGTCTCTGGTCCCCATCTTCCCTGCCTCCCCACACCCCAGACTCAGAGGGCCCTCTTTGGACGTCTTCTGGTTGTTGTTTCGCTTTTCTACATCCTTGGGAACTTGTGTTTTGAAAAGGTTATGTCCATTAAGCAGCTATACATGCCGTCATTTGTAATTCATATTCCGAGAGTTCTCTTCCCAGACGCATCTTATTACATCCTTGACCACGTGCCTGCGCTGAGCAGTGCCCTCTGTGACTGTCACAGCCCGTCCCCCGCCACCTCCCACCCCCACCGTGAACCCCAAGCCCAGAGGGTCTCTCCTCCTCCGCACACGTGGGCGCCCCCCCCCCTCCCGCCGCTGCACCAGAATCAACATTCTCCCGTCCGATTCCCGCATTCCCAAGTGTGGAGTCTCAGCACATTGCTGAATGAATGACAGTGGCCACCATGAATATCTTGCAGTCAGTTTCTATGAAATTTGAGCACCTTGTCTGTTTCACCCTAACGGGGTGCATGTTTCTGTAATAAATGGACGGAAGGTGATCTTTAAGAAAGTTTAGGCATCTTTCACTAGTTTTGGTGAAATAGAAATATTATAACTAAGTCTCTTTTGCCCTTTTCAAAATTCCTTGTTTCTTGCATATTCTGAAAAATGTCAGGGCCTTGCACTAAGGCTGTAGGTAAACTGGGTACCTTGGGGAGTAAAGCATTTGTCCCGAGTGTTACCTGGGGGAGGGGCCGCAAGAGGGGCCTCAGGCACGCAAACCCTGCCCTGAAACAGAGCTTCGGACACGGTCTGGGAGGGTAGATGCACACAGAAGTTCGGTGCATTTTCTTACGTGTTTAATGCAGGGACCGTCACTCCGTGGAGTCGGGTGGACCCGGTGAGGCCTTTTGTGCGGGAAGCAAACAGCTGGTGTAGAGGCACATAGGCCTCTCCCGGGCCGGAGCCTCGGCCCTGCACTGAGCCTCGTGGCTGCACTGCCCCTGCCCGGAGCCCCTGGGACCAGCAGCCCGCCCGCCCTCGCCGTCTCAGCTCTCCAGGCTGGGAATGTCAGCTCCAGGTAGGCCCTGCACAAGGGCACAGGGGAGCCCTGGCAGGTTCCACCATTTCCTGCATTACTGCTGCCTCGAACCATCACCCTGGATGCCTCCCAGGCCCCCCCCCCCCCAGCCCAGACTCAGCCAGGCTCCCCCAAACCTGCCCCTCCCCCATATTCGCCTTCTCTTCTACGTCTCTGCCGTCCGCCCAACAGCCGCCCCTGCCAGGAACCTGGAGATCACCCCCCATTCTTGGCCCCTGGGCTCCCAGAAGAGCTCAGCCCCAGCCCCCGAGACCCCACGTGGCTTCCTGCCTGGACAGCACCTCCAGCCCTGTCCCCAGCCTTTATTCCACTGCTCAGACCCCCACGGCGACGGTCTGCCCGCGTGAGGGTGTGTGTCAGGTCTGTGACTTCCCAGCAATGGTCTGTGCAGCAGGTATAGCACTTGCTAAATGGAGCTCTGTGTCCAGCCGGTCAGGCTGGCTGGAAGGCCACTCCTCTGTGTGTCTCAGAACTCCTCTGGGGTGGGGGGCAGAGATCCAGCACATCGGGGGGGGGGGCGTCTCCGTGGAACGGGGGTGGAATGTGCCAGGCCTCCACATCCTTACCTGCCGCCAGGTGTGCCCACAGTCAGACGTGATGTACATCTCCTCCTTATACTCCACCAGCTGCGAGCCCAGGTTACCTGGTCCGGAACAGGGGCAAGGTCGCCCTTGGGGTCAGCCAGCCTTATCAAGGTCTGTGCCCAGACAAATCCCCCTGCGAGAGTTACGTGTGCCCCGGGTCTACCTCTCTCACACCCAAAGCCACCCAAAGAGAGGGTGTGCCCCTCTCTGCACTCTCCCTACACTGACCTGCCTGTGGAACCTCTATGCTTGGGCCCTGGGTCCCAGTCTGTGCAGTGAAGGATTCGCTTTGCCCAAAGCCAGCCAGCCTCAGAGCTCCAGCAGGGCCCGGGTGCAGGCGGGACCCAGGCACTCGAGGCGTCCAAGGGATTGAGTGTACAAGAATACGTGTGGGCTGCTGATCAGGGACTGGCAAAAAGCACGTGCTCCAGGTGGGCCGGCATGGGGTCGGGGTGGCCCCCGACCGGCTTTAAGTTGGGGCAGGGCACAGCTGGGTTTGCATCAGGAGACAGCCCCTCGGGGGTCTGGCTGCAGGGGCGACCAGAAGTCCGGCAGCGTGGGGCAGTACAGGTGAGAGGCACGGTAGGCACAGAGGAGGTGCTCATTAAATATCTGTTGAGTGGACGTTTGGAGGGTGATGGGAAGGGGCCACCAAACCAACTGGGCCGCCAGGAGGTCCCCCTTGGCCGTGGTTCACGTGAGCCCAGTACCAGGCCGGCTGATGGGTCACCACCCTCAAGGCCCTCTACAGGCTCAGACTGAATCCTGGGGTGGTGGCACAGTGGGAAGACGCCCCACTCAGTGTCCACGCCAACCCCAGCTTACAGATGAGGAAACGGTCCAAATGGGCTCCCACGGAGGGAACAGTATCCACCTCACAAAGCACAGGTGCCAGGAAGGTCGTGGTGGCCTCTGGGCTGAGCCCAGTCTGCCCCAGACAGTCCCTTGGGAAGGGCTCTGCCCCTGTGGTCTTGGCAGGGACCAGGGGTGACAGCCCCCAAGACGATGGGGACCTGAGGTGATGCTGAAGCCCTTTTGGACTCCTGCCTGGAGCCCCAGAGGCCCTTGCCCTGGGTGACTCATACGTCACTCTCAATTTGCAGCATTATTTACGGGGCACTCTCGGGACTATCTCTTCCAGAGTCAAGTACAGATGTCAGTGGAAAATTCGAAAGGGAATGGGTTGTCTTCGGATGAGTGAAAGTGAGTCCCAACCAGAGTGGTGAGGGGTTGTTTGCTTGCTATCTGTCCTGAGGTCCAACCAAGCACCAATGCATCCGTCCAACCATCCGTCCATCCATCATCCATCCATCTGTCCGTCATCCATCCATCTGTCCATCTATCCATCATTGATCAACCAACTGATTGATCCATCCATCCATCCATCATCTGTCCATCCGTCCATCATCCATCCATCCATCCATCCATCATCTGTCCATCATCCATCCATCCCTCCACCCATCCATCCATCATCCTGTCTGTCCATCCGTCCATCCATCATCCATCCACCCATCTGTCCATCATCCACCTGTCCATTCACCCATCCATCATCCCTCCATCCTCACATTTCTCTTCTTCACCAATTCCACTCACTCTTCCATCCCTGCACTTATCCGACAGCATTTCTGGCCACCTGCTGTCTGTCGAGCCTTGTGCAGAGCTGAGGGAGGTCCGAGATGAATGAACCATGGCCCCTGCTCCCAGAGAGCTCTCAATCCAGCAGCGGAAGAAGCATGCCCTGCAACCGTAGGCTGAGCCAGGATATCTAGAAGCCCGAGGGATTGTAAGAGCAGACAGGGGACGGCTGATGGACCCGGGAAGGAAGGAGACTCCTGAAGGCAGTGACCTCCGAGCTGTGCCCGGAGAGACAAATGTGCTCTGCCCAAGGGAGGAGGAAAGGCCGTGCCAGGTGTTGGGGATGCCCGGTCGGCAGCGTGGAGGTGGGAAGGGGCACGACGAGGGAGGGGCAGAGGGGCAGGTGCCGAACCCCGTGTCCTCCCCCGTCTGGCAAACGAACGGTGCTGAGAAATGGCCACGGGATGAGTGAAACGAGCCAGTTAGACAGATGAGCGGGATGACGGGGGTATTATCTCTGCTGCATTCCGGATGCCAACAGGCGCGCTGGGACGCACGCATCGCACACGGAGCCGCGGTGAATGTGGCCGTGTCAGCACTACTCAGCAGGCGAACCCCGGTCTGTAATTTCGGCTGTGCACGTGTCTGTCTTTCAAGGGACGCTGTCTGCTTTCCATGCTCCGTCTACCAGAGCTTTCAGGCTGCCAGTCACCTAACAGACACCGGGGACAAATAAAGGGACATTCACGGAATGTGTCCCCAGGCTGTCAGCGCAGAAGGGCCTGCAGAATCCTGGAGGCGGTGCCCTCATTTTACAGGTGGGGAAACTGAGGTCCAGGGATGTGACTAAGAGAGAGGCAGGGAGGTCGGGAGGGAGGGAGGCTGCCTTGGGCCACCCTCCTCGGGCGTGGCCGGTTGGTTCCCGGTGACACACCTCCAGATCCTCACTGCTTTCTTGGGCAGCCAGGAAGCTCATTCCGGGTTTTTGAGGCCTTTGAGCCACAGATACATTTAGAATTGTGCCTTTTGTATTTTGGTCAAGAATTTGGGGATTCAGCCAATCAGGACAGTGCTTTTGAGGGGCTGGGAGGCAGGAGTGCCCCGGGGGCTTCCCCTCCGGTAAGGAGCCTGGGTTGGCTTCCTGAGTGACACCCAGCAACCTGGAGCTTCCTGGGAGGAGGGGGTGGGGAGTGACCTCTCAGGGCTGGTGCAGCGGTTAAGAGCTCAGTGCCTGGGTGGAGGAAAGGCCTGTCCAGGACAGCTGCCAGCATGAAGAACATTCCCTTGTTTTCCCTTCCTTCCTATCAGTGGTACCCAGGGCTCCCACCCCCATGGGAGCCGGCGGGAGCAGGCAGGGCTGTCCCAGCGCTGGGTGCCGGAGGGCACATAACCCTGCACATTACAAGGAAAATATGATGCCAGCCATTACCTGGCAATAC